ATCATCATCATCATACCGTTCGTTGTTGACTGCTAACCCGCCCACCAGGAAATCCGCCCGCGAGGTGCTGGGTTGCCTTCGGAATTCAATCGAGCAAGCAGCTCAATGACTGGCCGGGACGCGCACCCGTCCGGAGAGCCCGAGGCCCCTCTCCCTCACCCCCCTCTCTTGGGGGCTGCGGCGCGGCTTTGGGTCGGCGGGAAAGCGCACCCGCCTGGAGAGCCCGAAGGGACTGAGCACCGCCCTCTCCCCTCCCTCGCACCTCCTCGGGGGGCCGCGGCGCGCCTTGGACCGAGGGGCCCTTGCGGAGCTGCCAGCGCACGGGGGCTGTTGCGCCCCCCTCCCCGATCCCTCCCCTCGCTGTTCCCCGCTCGGGCTGGCGCTCGGCCCCCCTTTGCATTTGCTGCTGCATCATCCTTGTGGATGCCATGACACTGGACACTCTAACAATCCGATCATTGAATTAAACATATGTTTAAAATGTGTGAAACATGTTCTACAAAATGTTTCAAACGTGTCTTTGCATACATATTAGACAATGTTCGAAACATTGTTTAGGCATCTGGAAGTTAGTTGGCAGCACGCTTCCTCTCCATTAATCGACTTCCACAACATCATCCCACCTGTCGCCTGCAGGCGCGCAGGGCCAGGCCCTGGGTCGTCGGGAGACCGAGGGCGCCTGGTAGTATGAGAGTGCCCACCTCCTCCTCCTCCTCCTCCTCCTCCTCCGCCTCCGCCTCCGCCTCCGCCTCCGCCTCCTCCTCCTCCTCCTCCTCCTCCTCCTCCTCCTCCTCCTCCTCCGACCCACAGTTCGGCGAATACTTTGTTGGGGATTTGTTTTACGGACTGTAGGAGGATTCGCCGCTGGGGCGCGGGTCGCCCAAGCTGCCTTTTCAGACGACAGCCCGACGGCCTCGTCGGCATAGTCTGCCAGAGCGGCCATCCCTCGTCAAAATCGGGTGCTGGAGCCCACGCCGTGGGCTTCTGGACCTCGTAAAATCGCATGCTTTCTGCTGGAACGACTTTCCCTCGTCAAAATTGGGTGCTGGAACCCACGCAGTGGGCTGCAGGAACCCGTCCCTCGTAAAAAACGGGTGCTGGAACCGACCCTTCTTTTGTCCATTAGACGGCAAATCTGCTGGAGCCATCTTCCCTCGCAGGAAGCTGGCGCTGGAACCACACCCCGCTTATGGCTTCAAGCATATGAATTAGGTCGGGGGGGTACGCGGCTCAAGGGTGGGGGTCATATTAAAAAAGAAAAAAAAACTACCGAGCATCTGCACCTGACTATGGGGGTCGGTGGACTCCGTCGCCGCGTCGAGATCCTCGTCGCCCTCCCCCCCTTTCCTCCTCTCGGGGAGCGGCGGCACGGCCCCACGACGGGATGGGCGATGCACGTGGCTCTCGGGCCAAAGAGTGGCCCCGTCCAACCCCACCCTGCCTCCCCCCGTCGTGGGGCCGTGCCGCCACTCCCCGAGACTGTCGGAGAAAGGGGGGAGGGCGACGAGGACCTCGACGCGGCGCCGGAGTCCACCGACCAGCCCATTGCCACGGTCGGGTGCAGATGCTCTGCAATGTGTGTGTTTGTTGTACAAGCATGCCGACATATCGGAAGCGTGGCCCCGGACGCACGGAAAATTCAAACGAAAACTCGCCCAAGCAGGGCGGAAAATGAGGATAACAATGCGCAGAGAACAGGGCTGAAAATTAAATGAAAAAATGCAAACTTTGCACAAGCAAACAAACGAAAAGCTAAAACGAGAAAATCGCAAAAACACATGAAATAAAACGAACAAGTCGTAACAAACCCCACCCTGCCTCGCCCAGCTCCTCACGCAGAGACGCGGTGCCGCCCTGGAGGTCGGCGCTCGGGCGGACGCCACCTGCGCTCCTCGGCCCGCGGGCGGGCCCTCCCGGAAGAGCCCCCAGCCCCGCCGACCCCGGCGGGTGCTCGCTGCCGAGCTCGAGCCCTGGCATGGTGGACTGTCCTCGCCGCCTTCTCCTCCTCCTCCTCCTCCTCCTCCTCCTCCTCCTCCTCCTCCTCCTCCCTCGTCCTCCTTCTCCTCCTCCTCGTCCTCCTCCTCCTCCTCCTCCCCCTCCTCCTCATCATGCTCCTCTGCCTCCTCCTTGTCCTCCTCCTCTTCCTCCTCTCCTCTCCTCTCCTCCTCCTCTCCTCCTTCTCCTCCCATCCTCTGGGGCCTCCCTGGTCCCCCCCCCGCGCTCAACTGCCCAGCAGGTGAGCCACGGGAGCGCTGCCCCCCCCCCCCCCACACCGCTGCGGGGGCGCTTCGGGGGGGAGCGCGCCACGGCAGCCCCGACCCTGCCCGCCCCGAGGGGCCGAGGGGGGCGCGGCCCCGGCCCCGTCGCGGGGCGCATCGGGGCCGGGTGGAGAGCGGCGGCCGCGGCCCCGCCTGTCCCCGCGGGCAGCGGAGCCGCGGCGGGAGGAGAGGATGCCGGGGCCCTCCTCGTCGCCGCGGCGGGATCCGCTTCGTCAGAAACTGGAGCAGATACATTACCAGTGGCGGGCGGCGTTTCAATCCCAGGACTTCTCTTTGAGGGTCGGGGACAACGCTGGGGTGGTGTGGTGTATATTTTTTCCCCCGTTGTCCCATGGAAACAACGAAAAATGTATCCACAAGGATCCCGTATACACCAGAATCCGCATTCCTGGGCGAATTTCAGCGCAGGGTCGGGAAAAGCGTCGGTGTATAGAGTTCGTTTCCCTACTTCGGGGTCGGCGGTGGATGTGGCTGCCCTGGCCTGTTTTCAAGGATCCCCTGGACACATGGTGGGCGGCAGTTGTGCTCTGCGCGCTGTCCATCGGCGTGGGGATCATCAATCTCTTCACCTCATAATCACGATTTCGTTCTGTCGCACTCCTTGACGTGTAGGCACAGGGCAATTTTAAATACATAGGATTGTGTTGTTTAATGCATGATTAATGCATCAATGGATATATGCATGAACTCATCGTTGTTTGTAAAACTATATCCCTGCATGTTTGATACATGATCCGCATGCAGAGCATGTATTGAAACATGCACGGGCAGGTGTTAATGCATAGGACTTTTCATATGTACGAAGTCTACTTCATGATTAAGTTATGAATACATTAATGCTTAAATTCATTATTTTATGTATTAATCAACCCTTTTATTTTTAATACGTGGTCCGCACGCGGAGCATGTATTAAAACCGGCGTTGTAGGATGCGTGGCGGGTAGTGTTCGAAATATGGCTCTCGCCCTGGCGCAAAGCACAATCATTTTCCAAATGTATAACCGATAGATGGAACAATTTCCGTCTTCCAAATGTGGTTCTCACCTTACCGCCACGCACATTCGCCTTAAGCCTGTACCCGTTTCACGGATATGCATGGTTGAAGTCCCAGGAAATGTACCCTGGCACGAATTAGGACTGCCGAGGCGCAAAAATCATGTCGGTTCGCGGCGTTGTAGCCCCGGGAATTGTGTTTGGCACTATTTGGACTTCTCGGACGGGAGTCTTCCAACGGAGAACTTCCCGCAATGAAAGCAAAAGTGCGTAGGGACATGTGAAGAGGGAACTTGAAAGGAGGTGTAATGCAACATTGTTGAGGTGTCTTGGGCTTACACTTGTCATTATCCTCATCCTCACCGTCCTCTTCCACTCAGCTGTCAACACACGGCAGGGCAGTTTGAAAGGGGTTGGGAGGCCCAACCAGCAGCATCGCCTTTGGCGAAGCCAAGCTCCAGCTATGTTGTACTGTAGTAACGATAGTCCCTAGTAGGAGGCGAGCCATCTCAAGTAGTTTTGGTATCGATGGCAAATGGTACACCTCGCGCTGAGGTGTACTCAGATCTGGGCGGCCGGCCGCTTTGAGCCAAGCAGCCGCGGATGCACGCTCGTTCCCGCTCACATGCAACGCCCAGCTCACTTTAGAGCAGGGCCCCCTTCCCCCTGCGAGTCAAATCACCCCTCCATTCCCACCCAACTCACCCCCCCAGCTCGGGGATCTTCTGACCCGGGTCAACCCAGACCCTGGTCATCAAGAAACCAAAAACTGCAATGCAGGAAAAAAAAGCTGCACCGCAGGTCTTCGCAAACCCGGGTCAGCCAATATGCGCGGCCGTCTCGCGGCCACGAGCGGCTCGCTAACCCGGGTCAGCCAGAGGGGGTCTTCGCAGGATCCTGCAGGATCTGGTGCCCTGGCTGACCCCCGTTTGCATTGACCCCCGTCTCAAGGCTCCCGACCAGCCCCGGCGCCCCCACTCCCGCTTCCCCCTCCTCACCCGCTCCCGCAGCCCCCTCCCCCACCCAGAACTCCGACATCGTGTGCCTGATCGTGTGGGCCCTCGGAGGTCTGTCACCCTTCCCGAGGCCAGATTCTCATCCTGAGTCGTCATTTGACTGACCCGGGAGGGCCCCCAGGCAGGAACCTGTCAAGGACCTATCGTCGTGAATATTTCAACGACGAGAAGAGGTTGGGCTCCCCGTCTTCCATTCCCATCCAGTTTTGACGTTGCGCCAACTTGAATCCTCGGATTGTAGCGGCATCCCTCCCCTCCTCCTCCCTCCCTCCTCCCTCCCTCCCTCCCTCCTCCCTCTCCTCCTCTCTCATCCTCCTCCCTCCCTCCTCTCCTCCCTCCTCCCTCCTCCTCCTCCTCCTCCTCCTCCTCCTCCTCCTCCTCCTCCTCCTCCTCCTCCTCCTCCTCCTCCTCCTCCTCCTCCTCCTCCTCCTCCTCCTCCTCCTCCTCCTCCTCCTCCTCCTCCTTCCTCCTCTCCTCCTCCTCCTCCTCCTCCTCCTCCTCCTCCTCCTCCTCCTCCTCCTCTCCTCCTCTCCTCCTCCTCCTCCTCCTCCTCCTCCTCCCTCCCCCCCCCCCTCCTCCTCTCCTCCTCCTCCTCCTCCTCTCCTCCTCCTCCTCCTCCTCCTCCTCCTCCTCTCTCCTCCCTCCTCGCCTCTGCTGGCCGCCTGCTTGCTGCACGGGCTCGCCCCCCCGCCACCCCCCCCAGCAAAACGGC